CTGCTTCACAGCCCTGTTGAACACCAAAACCGAGTTGAGTTGGTTTCAGCATTGCAGCAGCCTCTTGACTCACACTTCTTACTGCAGCCTTGGCGACTAGGTGCCGAAGGGCGTTGCCCACTGCAATGGGCCTGATACCGCCATCCTTTTTCCGGAGGGCACACAATGAGGCACCAAAGAAAAGGGGTCTGATGGCCTCTGGGACACTGCCAGCCAGGCACAGGTTAGAATATTTGGTGAGTTCAGACAGCAGCCTCTCTGAAACATCACCAAGTGCTGGATTGAGTATTTGTTTTAAGTGTTGAGGCCTTTAACCGGTGAAACCTCCTGCTGAGCCCTGTGGAAATGACATAGCAGCTTTATACACATCAGCATCCTGTAAGGTTAGATGTTCTTCGCCTGCTGCAATGTCAGGGAGGTCAATGTTGGTACGGGAGCCTGGGTGGATGTTTGTCCTTTAGAGCTTCCCGCCATGCTGACGTCCTTGGGAGCAATGGTATCCTCACTGGTCATAGCCTCAGAGCTCCAATAGTATTACCCTCTTCTATTTTTTTGCTAATTTCGGCTCTGATTTTTGTGGCATCGGGTGGTCCTGTTGTTGGCATTTGCCCGGCGGGTGTTTGTCGCCCTAGGAGGGAGACAGACGAGGTTGTCATCCCTTGGGAATGCATATATTGCCATAATAACATGTGTTGCTAGTGACTTGTCCCTCCTTCGTGGGACAGCCAAACAAGCATTGCCAAAAAGCAGCAAGTTGTGCCAGGATCTGTTGTTTGAAGGAGCATCGTTGACTTTTTTCAGAAGGTCAGTAAATTTGCTAGCAGCTAGAGGGCGAGCTGCTTGGGGATGTGTTCAGAGTCCTGGTGGATGTTAATTTGATTGCAGATTTGAGGTCCTCTGTAGAGGTGAAGTCACGGTGGCTGCCAGCGCTGTCTACTGGAGCTTAGACATCCATTGTGTGCATGAATGTTGCCAGTTGAGGGATTGAGTGCACATTCCCTGTAGCACACTGGGCAAATGCCTAGTGAACGACAGCTTTGGCTCTGTCGTGAAGATTCCTGTGAGCCCGCGACTACTTGTGACATTACTGATATCTTTGGGGTGGGAGAGCGCCAGGTGTAGGGTGACGGGTGAAGGACAGCAAGGATGCATAGGGGATGAGGGTGGGGGTGTAGCGAGGGGCAGAACTTGTAATTGGTGGGACACTAAATGGCAACACCCTTGGTCAGGAAGTCAGTGGGCTTAGGCTGGGATGAGGGGAGGGGATCAGAGAATGGGGGCGGAGGGAGTGGCCCGGTGTGTTCGCTCAAGATGCACATCACTGACTAACTTTTGCTACTTGTTATACACTTATTGTTCCATTTAGAAAAAAAAACATTGCCATTTCACACACTGATCACCATGCTCACACTGTTAACTGAGGTGTTCCTCTGTTCACCATCCAATGATGGTGTCGTGAGCGGCCACTTCCTCCTCCAACCCCCGATCCCGGTCGGACACAGAGGTAAACAAAACCTCCTCCACACACCATTGGCAGGATCCCCTCACCACGGCTACTCCCCAAATCCCAACATGCACACTGCACTTTCACTGATACAGAAGCAACGGTCTGATGCAGAAGATTGTCACAACTCTGAAATTTCCGGTGGATACACACCATGATGTCTGCCGAAACTGGCCCATGTAAACCATGTTGGTTCTTGGTTTACGCGCACGATGTATGGAGCACCACAAACTGGCTCCCTCCCTCCACGCCGGTAAGATATTATTATCAAGATATTTTATATATATTATAATATATTATATATATATATATAAAATATATTTTATATATATTATATATATTAAAATATATATATAAATATTATATATATATATATATATTTATATATATTTTGTCGTGCCGAATAGGCAGAACTTGCGATCTTGGTTAAATAGCAACGCTTATCTTCCCATATAGGTCAAGCGAAAATTTGTGTATGCAATAATTTCGCCAAAATCATTCTAAACCTAACGAAAAAAAATATTTTCATTGTTTTTTGTTTAGTATTTAAATATTGTAAACAAATCTAAAATTTTATTTAGTTGGGTTAGGCTAAAATAAATTGTTCTTGTTATTTAAAAAGGTTAGGTAAGTTTTTAAGATTTCTTTTGGTGCAAAATTATAAATTTTTACATTTTAAAATTAATGAAAAAAATATATCTTAAACGTATAGAGAAAATTTAGAAAGGACTTAACTTTAAATGAGTTCTTGCTAATTGACAGTTTTACATATTCGGCACGGAAAATATATTTTATATATATATATATATATATATATATTATATATATATATATATATTTTAAAATATATTTATATATATTATATATATAAATTGAAAGTGAATACAGGAAGGTAAGGGTTATGGGATAAAAAAAAGATTAGGTGATGAAAGATTTGGGTATCAGATTGGAGGGAGAGAGTATGGAGGAGGTGAATGTATTCAGATATTTGGGGGTGGACGTGTCAGCGGATGGGTCTATGAAAGATGAGGTGAATATAGAATTGATGAGGGGAAAAGGGTGAGTGGTGCACTTAGGAGTCTGTGGAGACAAAGACTTTGTCCTTGGAGGCAAAGAGGGGAATGTAGAGAGTATAGTTTTACCAACGCTCTTATATGGGTGTGAAGCATGGGTGTGAATGTTGCAGCGAGGGGAAGGCTGGAGGCAGTGGAGATGTCATGTCTGAGAGCAATGTGTGGTGTGAATATAATGCAGGGGTTCGTAGTTTGGAAGTTAGGAGGAGGTGCGGGATTCCCAAAAAATGTTGTCCAGAGGGCTGGGGAAAGGGGTTTGTTGAGGTGGTTGGACATGTGGAGAGAATGGAAGCGAAACAGAATACTTCAAGAGTGTATCAGTCTGTAGTGGAAGGAAGGGGGGGTAGGGGTCGGCCTAGGAAAGGTTGGAGGGAGGGGGTAAAGGAGGTTTTGTGTACGGGGGGCTTGGACTTCCAGCAGGCATGCGTGAGCGTGTTTTGATAGGAGGTGAATGGAGACAAATGGTTTTTTAATACTTGACGTGCTGTTGGAGTGTGAGCAAAAATAACATTTATGAAGGGGTTTTAGGGAAACTGGCAGGCCGGACTTGAGTCCTGGAGATGGGAAGTACAGTGCCTGCACTCTGAAGGAGGGGTGTTAATGTTTGCAGTTTAAAAACTGTAGTGTTAAAGCACCCTTCTGGCAAGACAGTGATGGAGTGAATGATGGTGAGAGTTTTTCTTTTTTGGGCCACCCTGCCTTGGTGGGAATCGGCCGTGTGATAATAAAATAAAATAATAAATTTAAATATATATATATTTTTTAATATATATATATTTATATATATATATTAAAATTTTATATAATATATATATATATATTTATATTTATTTATTTATTTATTATTAACACAACCTGCCGATTCCCGCCAAGGCAGGGTGGCCCGAAAAGAAAAACTTTCACCATCTTCACTCCATTACTGTCTTGCCAGAAGGGTGCTTACGCTTTTAGTTTTTAAACTGCAGCATTAACACCCCTCCTTCAGAGTGAGGCCTGTACTTCCCATCTCCATTTTCTCAAGTCTGGCCTGCCCGGGTTTTCCCCGAATCCCTTCTTAAATGTTACTTTGCCCACATCCAAAGCACTCAAGTATTAAAAACCAGTTGTCGTACACATTCATTACTATCAAACAAGCTCTAGGCATGCCGCTGGAAGTCCATGCACCCTGTACACAAACCTCCTTTACTCCCTCCCTCCACCCTTTCCTCAGGCCGACCCCTTGACCCCGCCTTCCTCCATTATAGGTGATACACTCTGGAAGTCATTCTGTTTCGCTCCCATTCATTACATGTCCGAACCACTCAAAAAACCCTTCCTCAGCCCACTGGACAACGTTTTGGCAATCCCGCACCTCTCCTACTTCCAACTATGAATTATCGGCATTTATAGTCACATCAACATTGTTCCTCTGACATGACATTCTCCACTGCCTCCTAGCCTTCTCTTCGCTGCAAACATTCTTCACTCATGCTTCACACCCATACTGGGAGCCGTGGTTATATCTATACTTCATACACAGTTCCTCTTTGCTTCCAAGGACAACGTTCTTTGTTCTCATAGACTCCGAAGTGCACCGTGTCACCTTTTTCCCTCATCAATTTATGATTCACCTCATCTTTCAGTGAACCCATCTGTTGACACGTCCACGCCAAATATTATGATTAATTCCCTCCTCCATACTCTCTCCCTCCTATCTGATATCCAATCTTTCATCACCCAATCTTATTTGTTATCCTCATAAACCTTACTTTTTCCTGTATTACTCTTTCAATTTTGCTGCTTTTACACACCCTACAAAATTCATCCACAACTTCTGCAAACCTTCTCTTCAGAGTCACCCAGGCACAGTGTCATTCAGCAAAGAGCAACTGTGACAACTCACTTTAAGTGTGATTCTTTATCTTTTAACTCCACCTCTTGCCAAGCCCTCGATTTACTCACACGGGTGAATCACACTTCCTTGTCTAAGGCCTACTTTTACTGGGAAATATCTCCCTCTTTCCTACACACTCTAACTTGAGCCTCACTATCCTTGTAAAACTCTTCACTGCTTTCAGCTAACAAGGACTGTTCGCATGCTATTGGGCCGTGCGGACGTGCTGCGCAGTAGCTCTGATTGAGTTCGCTTTTGCGCAGTGTTGACGTGTACTTGGCTCGGTGAAGACCTGTTGCGCGCTCTCTAGAATTGTTTTTTTTTTATTTTTTTTGTATGCAAGATGCCCTCCATCGAGCAACTTTTACCAACAGCTTAAGGAAGAATTGAGATTGGGCAAATATGGGAAATTCGGCGACTGACGAGGTAAAACAAGAAGTTTCGTAGTGTCTCCATGTTTTGAGTCCTCTGGTCAGAAGGGAAACTGGGTCAGTGATGGCAGCGGGAAAGAGTTGACGATCAAGAAGACGAATGGAAAGGTAGAATACCGATGAAGCAGAACGAGACTGGCCGTGGAAACTGTTGTGGAAACAATCTAATACATTCTCCCAGTGCTACTCCAGACGGAATGTGAGTCGAATATGGGAAACGTCATGAGAAAGACTATTAAGGTAAGGTACCGTATATTGTTGTTGTTGGGGATGCCAAGTTAGGTACCATGGGTAGGGAGTTCTGCTTGAAAGGACAGTGTAGGAGACAGAGAGTTTTGCTTTCCGGGGCTGGGATGGAGGATATTGTTAGTCGTCTGGATGATATCATGAGAGTAATGGAGCAATCCTATTATTCTCTGTCCAGTGTGGTAGGCAACGATGTGGCAGTCGCAGGAGTGAGGACCTGATTGCAGTATAGGTCAGCAATAGAAATATTTGAGTAGTAAGGGTGGGAACCCTCTCAGATGTGGTCTTTTGCAAGGAGGGAGTTGGAAATGAATGGTTGTCCAGGGCAATTGGTGTCAATTGCTGGCTGGACATATACGTAAGGAAAATGCGGTAACATTCATCGACAACTGGGACCTCTTTCTATGGCATGAAAATGACATGTTGCTAGGATTGGGGTTCACTTATCTAGTGTGGGGTGGGAGCACTGGCAACTGCTGTGGAGGAGCAGTTAGGACTTTAAACTAGGAATAGTTAGTGGTATGGGATATGGCCGGCACACCCGTGAAGTCCCAGTGTGTAATTATTACGAGTACTAGGGGAACTAGTAATAATTAAGACGAGATAGATATTGAAAAGCCAGGGGACCTTGGGGTGATAAGGACAGTAATAGGTTTTAGTAGAAAAATAGAAATGAGCAGGAAAGGGTAAAGAGAAAGGACAGTCTTTCAATGTTTGTTATGCTAATTGCCGTAGTGATAGGAATAAGATGGACGAATAGAGATTAGTGCTAGTGTATGGTAACATTGATGTATTTGCCTTAAACTGAAGACGTGGTTTTAATCCAAAAAGTGGGACATGCCGGGAACTGCATATTCAGGGTTTTAAATTGTTCCAAGAAGAAGAAGTATTGGTCGAGGGGTGGTGGCGGTGGCATTGTAATGTCCGAGATCGCTTGAACTGTTGCATAAAAACGGGTATTAAGAGTCGGAAGTAAACATTACATAGTCGTTGGATAGCATTTTCAGGAGGGGCATGAAAACTGATTTTAGGAGTGATGACCGGTCCCCCACTTAGATAGGGAACAGGGAAACTACTATGGGGAGGAAATTGTTAAGGCCACAAGGCAACGATAATGTAGTAAATTCTAGTGAGACTAACTTAGTCATGTTGATTGGAATTTCTTGACTGGGAATTTAGAATTCATACGACTTCTTTGATGTATTTCAGGAATTGTTTTTTGATGCAGTGTGTGACAGAACCTACAAGGGGAAATAACCTACCTTGGACTTAGTTATGGCAAACAATTGAATCCTTGTTAATAATTTAGAAATTTCACGAGGATAATGGGCGCTAGCGACCACAAACATTTACATTTTTGCATTGAATGGAAGTACGATAGTAGCGATAACTCAGTAACAGTCCCGATTTTCGTTAGCAGATTACGATGGGCTTAGAGAACACTTATCATCTGTTGACTGGGTACGAAAGAGAGGTATCAATATGACCAGTTTTCTGAATACTATATTGCTGCCTTCAAAGAGCGTTTATCCCATATACGAAATTCGATCAAATAGAAATGACCAAAATGGATGTATAATAGCTCAAAAATCTACTAGGGCTTAAGAAGGGAATTTATAGGCGTATCAAAAGAAGGTGAGGGTCATCTTATGTGAATCAGTATATTGACATTAAGAGGGACATTAAAAAAGGGGATATGAAAAGCTAAAGGACTATGAAATTAAAGTTGCTAGGGAATTCTAAAACGACCCACAAAGTTTTTTCCAGGTCTATAGAACACAAAAGTTAGAGATAGATAGGTCCCCTTATAAAAATAACTATGGGCACCTTACTGACAAAGAGAAGGAAATGTGCTTGATTTTAAAATAATTATTTTCTTTCATCGTTTTTTACACAGGAAGCCACTAACAATATGCCAGTAATTAATTTTTTCAGTGGGCTAGTAAGAGATAAATTATGTAACATCACAGTCACTAGTGAGATGGTTTGAAGCAGATAGACAGACTGAAGCAAATAAGTTCGCCGGGTCCTGATGAGGTTTTTTTCAAGGGTTCTTAAGAATTGCAAAATGGAACTTTGTAACCATTAACTAATATTTGTATTTATCTCTTTCAAACAGTGTAGTGTTCTTATATGGGGACGATGGCTAATGTAACTCCTATTTTTTTAAAAATAAACACAGGGGACAAGTCGTTACCGTCAAATTATCCGCCCAATAAGCCTGACCTCAATTGTGGCAAATTATTGATCAATTATAGCTGAGGTTATCAAGAAAGCCATCTCGCGATAAGCATTAGTTGTTATATGATATCAGCATGGATTCACAAGAGGCGGTCTTGTCTAACTAATTATTAAATTTCTTCAGTAAAGCTTTTGAGGCTGTTGACCACGATAAGAAATTTGATATTTATTTACTTAGTTTTTAGCATACATGATACTTAAGCAGCACCAACCCAACAACCAGGGCACGTGATTTCATCGTCTACCCTCGCCTCGCATGGGCCGTAGGCCTTCTACAGTGTTCCTACATTCTTATGTTCTTTATGACACTCTCCGGTCCGTGGTCACATCTCACTCTTCCGCCTATATCTATAGTCTTTCTACCTTGTTTGTAGAAGTGATCATGGTTCAGGACCGAAAACGTTTTCCTAATAAATATGTTAATAGTGTTTGCTTACGTGTTTTCTAACCCCAACTTGTCGGTATCTATTACCAAGGTTATACCTTTAATAAAGGGATATTAATTAGGGTCTGAGGCTGACTCTCAAAGATGAGAACCCGCAGTAATGGATTGTAAATTAGATAACGTTGATTTAGAAAAGGAATAGGACAGACATGGAAATGGCAAATAGGGTAGTTGTTGAGTGGAGCAGTCTACCTTGTTGGGTGATTGAGGCTGGGACTTTAGGAAGTTTCAAATTCTAGCATTGGATAAGTTACATAAGTGGGAGGGGTTGGATTTGAGTGGGACTTTCTCATCAGAGCGTATTTCTTGGGTAGCATTGAAAATTGGGTTGGGCAAATGTTGTGTTAGTGGATGATATTGTAAAGGACTGCCTAAGTTTGGGCCAGCAGGCCTCCTGACAGTGTTCCTCCTTTCTTTTGTTCTGTTGGTCTTTTACGTACGATACCATACATCTGCATAACATCTGCCACATTGCCCGCCCCTTTCCACTCTGTCATAGCCTGTTCCATAATCCTGAAAAGGCTCACAAACCTCTCGTGAGCTTATCTAATATTACGGTTTCACTTATAGGGTTCATATAATACACCTGGGCCTCTCTACACCCGTACTCTTTCCTAATTGCATCCTGTCATCGGCGATCCTATTTCTCGTCTTACTCTTAATTCTGTGCAATTACTAAATCTTCGATACACTGTACCAAGTATGCTCAACAGACTTATTCCCTATAAATTGTGCTACTCTCTTGTGTCCCCTTGGCTTCATAGAAAGGAAACGATGCATGCTCTCTGCCAATCTCTAGACACCGTACCTTTTCCTATACATGTATTAAATATTAGGCACAATCCACGCCAAATCTAGATCCCCCTGCTTTTAACATTTCTTTCTGTATCATCATTCCGAGCTGGGCTTACCCCCTTGCATTCTACCTACTGCCCTTACCCCCTTTCCATTCTACCTACTGCCTTACCCACTTTCATTTACCTACTGCCTCACGACCTTCCACCCACACACTCACAATGGCTCTTCCTCACTCCTACATGAATGGTTATTCCTCTTGCCCTTTACATGAAATCATAACTTCACCTATCTTCTTCAAACATTCAACATTCCTCCATAAATATTTCCCTCCATCTTCCAATTCTTTAACTCTCCATTTAATAAATCTCCTCTCCTTTTTTAATGACAAATCCACTGTTCTCTAGTTCCTGAACTTGTTAAGCTCTACTCCAAACGTTTTTCTTATTTTCAACAAAATTTGTGATAAACCATCTCACCACTCTTCTTTTGCTCTCTTTTTACATTGCTTCACCACTCTCTTAACTCTCTCTTGTTCTCATATACTCTTCCCACTTGCATCACTTCTACTTTGTAAACATATTCTCATGTGCTATCTTTTTCTTCCTTACTGCTCTCTTTTCTTCATCATTCCACCAATACGTCCTTTCCCTTCCCGCACCCACTTCCTGTTACCACAACTTCTGCTGAACACTCTACATTACATTTTTAAACCTACCCCATACCTCTTCGACCCCATTGCCTATGCTCTCGTTAGCCCATCCATTAGGTGTGTATATTCTTTCCCTAATTGCTCCTCTTTTAGTTTATAACCTTAACCTCTCTCTAACACTGTCTGCTTCTATCTCCTTGTATCCCACCTACTTTCTCGACTTCTGTGTTAGCTACAACTAAATGTGATCTGACATATCTGGGGCCCCTCTATTTAACAGGTACATCCTGAAGTCTACTAACCAGTCTTTAATCTACCAATACATAATCCAAACAAACTACTGTCATTTCGCCCTACATCATATCTTGTATACTTATGTATCCTCTTTTTCTTAAAAATATGTATTACCTATAACTAAACCCCTGTCTATACAAAGTTCAATCAAAGGGCTCCCATTTTCATTTACACCTGGCACCCAAACTTACCTACCACACCCTCTCTAAAAGTTTCTCTTACTTTAGCACTAATGTCCCCTACCACAATACTCTCTCACTTGGTTCAAAAGGTTCCTATACATTCACTTAACATCTCCCAAAATCTCTCTCTCTCCTCTACATTTCTCTCTTCTCCAGGTGCATACACGCTTATTATGACCCACTTTTCGCATCCAACCTTTACTTTAATCCACATAATCCTTGAATTTACACATTCATATTCTCTTTTCTCCTTCCATAACTGATCCTTCAACATTATTGCTACCCCTTCCTTAGCTCTAACTCTCTCAAATACTCCAGATTTTAATCCCATTTATTTCTCCCCA